AAAAAAAAAATCAGCAAATATTTTTCGAAACGCGATCTTCACCTTGAGTCGTTGCACACTGGCTTCTGAAGTTTGCAGCTCCTTCCGAGTGACTTCGCGATCGGGAAGAGTGAAAATAATTCTGGCCAATGCGTCGTATTCCGATTTCCTTTCTCGCTGCTTCTTCGCTTCTTCCAATTCTTCTCGTGCAACTAAAATATCCGCTTCCGCGGCTTCGATTTTCGCCTGCAACCAGGGAATCACGATAAAATTCATAAATTTAAAATCATTTCGGTTAACGTGCAGAAGGAAAAAAACTTCGATTTCGATCTTTCAAGAGAATTCCACGTTTCCCAGTACAGAGCAGTGGTTAACCAGATTTTTTTCGATTTGATGCGTTTGAAAATGAAAGCGTAAACAAAAAATGAGAAAGCTTCACCCAAGATTAGCAGAATTAAATTTTGATCTGCGTGATGGGAATGCATGACGAGCCCCACAACACAGTACAAAGCTTGCAATTTTGCAGGAAATTTAAATTCTAGACCAGCTGATGAGTGGAAACGAAGTTGCAAATTTTATAATTTTCGCGATCACGCACAGAGGGACAGGCAGAAGTGTGTTCAATTCCTCAAGAACAAAATCAGCGTGGGAATTTTCCTTCCACTTCGACTTTAATTGTTCATTAACGAGCAGTTGTCTGGTTGTATTTGATTTCAGATTCAGTATAGAACTATATCAAGAACACTTTCAAAACAGACGTTTCAGTAGAAATCCACGGATTTTGACACGAACTGAAATCAACGAATTTTGACACGAACTGAAATCAACGAATTTTGACACGAACTGAAATCAACGAATTTTGACACGAACTGAAATCAACGAATTTTGACACGAACTGAAATCAACGAATTTTGACACGAACTAAAATCAACGAATTTTGACACGAACTGAAATCAACGAAATTTTACTTGAAATAAAAAAAGAAATTCTCCCAACAATTTCATTATTTTGAAGGAATTAACATCAGACCGTTTCCATATATTCCCCAGGAAATACGACACACACCAGAGAAAAGTCCAAAAATCAAGTTACATAAAATTGAATAAAAACAGATAATATTCAACAATAACCTTCAAAGCTTCGGCCTCTTCCTCATACATCCTTTTCTCCTGCTTGTTCATTTCAACAGCAGCGTCGGTTTTCAAGAAAACCATGTTCATGGGATCGAATTGACGCATCAGCAAGTCGTACATCCGATCGCTAAAAATAAAATGCATGCTAAAAACATTTTCTCACGGATTCATCATCATAAAAAAATTAGAGTACTTGAATTCCGGGGACGTGTCATTTGAATCAATCCAGCTTTTGCACTGTCTGAGGAACGTGGCGAATTTCCTGTCATCCCCTTGTCCTTCTCCGTCAATCAGCAATTTGTACATCATTATTTCTTCTGAAAATGCCG